CCTCCTCCTCCTCCTCCTCCTCCTCCTCCTCTTCCTCCTCCTCCTGTTCCTTCCTCCTTTTTTCTTTGCCTTTACAGTGCTTAGCACCAAGTCAGGTAGAAAGAGCACAATATTTGAAGCCAGGTAACTAAAAAGGCAGCTCCTCTTATTAGCTATGCAACTTTGGGCAGATTGGACCTTTGGGCTTTAACTTCTTGTCTATCAAATAGGCTAATACTTATTCTACTAGGTTTTCATGAGAAACAAAAATGAGGTGATATTTATGAACTATTTTGGTAAGGGATAAAATGATAGCTGTCATTATTATGCCTTTCATGAACAATTATTGATAATTGTTGGTTTATTTTAAACATTGTACAATAAAAACACATTGTACAATATAGTGCAGATTATGTATTTTAAACCGTGAGGTTAAAATTTTACTTTCAGATGGAAAAATCCTGGGGCCAGCTACAAAAGGCTATTCTTCAGCACCGTAGTCAATGGCAGAAAACCCATATTTTAGCTACTTGGAACATAAGTATGGCCTGGGTTTTGCAGCTCTTCTGAGCTCCCTGGCAGGCATGTGGGGTTCATATCCCAGTACTGTTTGTATGTGCGCTGTTTCTGAACCCAGTCATTACAACAGCCAGTTCAACATTTCTGAAAATTGCAGTTGTGCAAAGTTTAATGCATTCATGAGGCCTCTATCCAAAGAGGGATCCAAGAATAACATTTTGTCTTGATGGAATAAGAAAAGCTGTATCCTTTCCAAGTTAAGCTTGAGAGTAGAAATGAGGAGTCCATGAGGAGATAAGAAGATATATAAAGAAAGGATCATTTTAAATATATAGGAACTAAAATTTTATAATATTCACTATGTGCCAGGCACTCATCTATGTGCTTTATAAATGTTCATTCGTTTAATCTGTACAATGATCTTGTGAAGTTACTACTTTTACTTTGTAAATGAGGAAATTGAGGCACAGAGAAGCAAGTATGCAGCTGCCGAGGCAATGAGGATTCAAACCCCGACAGTGTGGGTTAAACTCCGTGCTTTCAACTCCTATTCAGTAGAGAGGAAATCTCCCATATCAAAACTGTTTGCAGATGGGAGAACAGACAGATGCTGTATCTGTATAAATTCCATAGCTACAGGTTGATTTGTATGTATGGCTACTTCTTTTTTTTTTTTCAAAGAAATGCAAAAAAATTAAATTAATTGGCCAGATTGGGTACATGTCTGAAAAATTTTTTTTTCATCCTTATCGGTTCCCTGGTCCTTTATATGTAATGAAAACATTCAAAAAACCAGTTACATATTAATTTGGAAAAGTGTGAGTTGTAGCTTCCAGAGTGTCTTGATGGTTTCTTGTGAAGTTAGATTGAGACTGTTCTCAGCATTGCAGTAGTACCGACAGAGCAGGCCTGTGCAACAGTCTAGAGAAAAGAGGCAGCTCCTGTGGGTCCTTCCCAACCCTATCCCACATCTCCAGGACGGCTCTGGGGGTTCCAGCCAGGAGTGCCACATCTGTCAGTTTGCTGCCAGCACCCTGCTTTGGGCTGGATCCATGCGGAAGCTGGGAAGGTAACTGATTATGTGTTGCAAACTGACACTCACCGCTCCTGGGTGTGTTGCCAAGGGTACCCCTGGCAGTGGAGCAGGGAGGCTAGGCTGGATCACCTCTGCTAACTGTGTTTTGGATGATGCTTTTAAGCTTTCTACCCTAGTAAGAACTCCGGGTGCAAGTAACATAAACCCAACTAAAAAAACTTTTTTAAAAAAAGGAATTATTGAAAGGATATTGTGAAAGGTAAATGGAAAGGTCAGAGTCAAACCAACTGTGGCTCCCGATTTGCCCTTCCTTAGCCCATCTAGATAAGGGGGCCACATCTCCACTTGGCTCTCACAGGGGAGATGGTCAGCAGACTTCTGTGTGTGTTGAGGGTGTTGGGGGATGATGGGGGATAAGCATCAACAGGTCACAGAAGGAGGATGGAGGACGAGGGGACCCACAGCAGAAACATCTCCTGACTTAAAGCTCTTTGTCATGAATTTTTATGCAAGTTGTGAGGTTAGGTCAAGGTGTTGGTGTTTTTGCCTAATGGATATTCAGTTGCCACAGCGTCATTTGTTGAAATGTCTATCTTTTCTCCCTTGATTTACTTTTGCATCTTTATAAAAAATCAGTGTGAACAGGTGTCTGAATTCTCTACTCCATCTTGGGCTTATCCTCCTGTTGGTATTACACTGTCTTGATTACTATAGTTCTATAGTAATTCTTAACATTGAAAAGATTAATTCTACCCCTTTTTATTCTTCTCTTTTCTAAATTGTTTTTACTACTCTGGATCTTTTGCCTTTCCATGTGAATTTTAGGATAAGCCTGTGTATGTCTACTGAAAAACCTTGCTGGTATTTTGCGAGGAATTGTATTAAACTTGTACATTAACTTGGGGGAGAATTGATGTCTTTTTTTATGTTCTAATCTGTGAACATGGCAAGTCATGATCTTGGCCTTCTTTGATTTCTTTCATTACATTTTGTAATTCAAGCATACATATCCTGTATGTTTGTTGCATTTACACCTAAGTTTTCTATTTTATTTGAGCAATTATAAATAGCACTGTTTTCAATTGTGTCGATCCTTGTTTGTCCATCCTTGTATAAAGAAATTTGGTTGAAGGGCCAGGGATTTAGCTCAGCGGTTCAGTGGCCTGCCTCGCAAGCGCAAGGACCTGAGTTCGATCTCCAGTACCACAAAAAAAAAAAAAAAGAAATTCAGTTGATTTTGCATGTTGATTTGGTAACATGCAACCTCACTGAACTTAGTTTTAGGAAGTTTGTTCTGTTTTGTAGATGCCTTGAGATTTTTTTTTTCATAGAAATACTTGTCATTTGCAAAAAAACACATTTTATGCAATTTTCAAATATACCAAAAATTTAATTGTTATAATGAACACCTCGATACACACAATTGTTAGCATATGAGGGGTATGTGTGGGTGTACCCACATGTGTATATTCACAAGGTGTAATCAAAATACACAGTGAATATTTAAATGTTTAAGATTTTCTTATATAAAAAGATACATTGCCATTAATTTCTATCAAAATACTCTATCTTGCTTTGGACACACTTATCCATTTCTTTTTGCCACTTTCTGAAGCAGTTCTGGAAGTCCTCTTTTGTGTTTTTCTGATATGATTTTAAAAAATATGGAGAATGCTGCTGCTGAGTGCCCTCCAGTGGGAAGGCAGGCTCATAGGAAGATAAGGGTGTCCTCCTTCACCCTCAGGCACCATCACTTCCGACTTCCCTAAGGTCAGAAAGGCAGTGAAAGATTGCGGCAGGACCTCGAGACAACCACGACTGCATGACCAAAGACACCTGTGCAAGACTTCCCAAACTGCTTCAGAAAGTGGCGGTAACATTAAGATAAGTGTGTTTGAAATGAGGGGGAGTATTTTGAGGGATATTAGTGGCAATGTGTCTTTTACTGTTAAAAATGAAAAATTTAAACATTGAGATCACATTTCTCTGTGTATGATACATGTGTGATATAAATACTTTATCACATACATTAAATATAAGTATATTTGACTATGTAATTTTAGTTCCATCATGCTTCAGGAAATTGGCGATTTCCTAATATCACTTAAAATAATCCACACGGGAATTTTCTCAGTTTTCTCTCATGATGTCTTTTACTTTTTTCAGATGAAGAAAATGTTTCAGGCATTTCTTTTTTTTTGGTATCTGGGATCGAACGCCGGACCTTGCGCTTGCAAGGCAGGTGAGGGGCCCCTTCATTTGGTTATTATGTCCCTTTAGTCTCTAATTTTAGAAACCCAGCAACTTTTCCTACTCTCTGAAATGGGCTTTTTGCAGACCAATTGTTTTATAGCACATGGTATGTTCTCGATTTTCCTTCTTGTGTCCTCATATTTATTTGTTTGTTTTGGCTTCATCTCTTTGTATTTGTACTCCCTGTAAAGTGGAGATAGGTTTAAAGGCTTGATAAGGTTCAGGTTAAGCATGTTTGGTGAGAGTGAGTAATAAGTGATTCTTTGTATCCTGCATCCCATCGCATCAGGAAGAACATAACATCAGCTTACACTGTTAGTCACGCTTAGGCAAACCACTTGTATAAATTTTGGATTTGCCATTGTAAAGATGTACCTTTCCTTCTAAATGAGCAAGTAGCCTACAGGACTGTGATGCGAATGTTTTGAGATAGCTTGATGAAGTGAATTGGTTCCTTTCAGAGGAAGATGTTCTTTGTATAGAATAGAATTCTGAAAGAGAATTTATGAAGCTGAATCTCCACTTGGGGTGGAAATATATGAAATGTGCAAGAGGATTCCTAACATTTAAGAATAGAAAAAGCATCTCTGGTGTACTGGAAGAAAGTATTTAATGAATATTTTATGTAAGGCTGGCTCTGTAATTTAATTCAACAGTATTAGTTAAGGAATATTCTGAGGAATGTTTTGAGAGACTAGTGGGAAAAGTGTGAGCTTTAAAATTTGGTCAGTAGGGCAGAAATTGTCTTTAATTTCGCTGTGTTGATAGCAAAGAGTTATATAACGCATCAAGGCAAAGACCTAGTGAGACAGGCTTCAGTTTGGAGGTTGCTTATTAAGAAAGCATGATTTTATTCAAGTTTTTTTTTAAAGAAAGTTTAAAGAGCATAATGTTGGTTTGAATATGAAGAAAGCCATCCTTTTTTCTGTTTCAAGGGTCAGAGAGCCTCACCTCCAGGCATTAGTTTGGGACTGTGATCAGCATTGTGATAACTCTTGGGAGCAGCCTGGTGTGGTCCGCTGGAGGGGTAGCGGTTCTAGGGCTTTCTGGTCTCCAGCTCCAGGTTTCTGTTAGAGAATTGAATCAGGGCTGTCAATGGCCTGCCCACAGCCATTGTTGTGAGTAAGCAGAGTATAGGAGTTGAGTAGGACAGAGGAGTTCCTTTGTTCTGTGTGACACTCCCCTGACAACCACCTGGATTCGAAGGAGGGCAGATCTGGTTTTATTGCTTACTAATTATATGATCCTGGGAAATTAAAGTTGTTGTTTTAATGTCATTTTGGACCAGTTATTGTTTTATATAATCTTTGCACCAACTGTAGAAAATAGTTGCTATTAAGATCCTCCTTTTGCAGATGAGGACATGGAGACACTGAGAACTACATGTGTGTGTTCTATGGGTCAGGTGTGGGTCAGGCCAGAAGGAACTGGCTGGGAAGCCCATGTAGAGTCTCTGATATAGGCAAGGCAATATCACGGAAAGAAGTGTGGGAGTGTAGAATCAGATGGAGAGAGTCGAGGAGACGCTAAGCAACCAGCCAAAGAGAAATTGATCTGTCCAGTGGAACTACAAACTAGTAGCTGTTCTGATGGAAGAAAGAGGTTACCAGGGAAATATCAAAAGCCCTATGAGGGGGAAGAAGAAACCATCTCACACATACTCCAGAATCAGAGAGCATCAGCAGGAGGTGATTCTAGTTCTAGTCAAATACAACCTGGTGTTCTCTTTACCAGACAGCATCTCCTTCGGCACCTCCAGCTCTGAAGAGGACAGAAACCATAGTTAGTGAGGTGAGGGGGCGGATGAGAAGAAAGAAAGGCACCCAGAAAAGATGACCATGTCTCTTGTTTTGTCCTGTGGGCTTCCAGCCTGAACAGCCCATTCACATTCACTCCAAAAGAAGTTTGGGGTTTTGATTTTTGACTGGAACTGGATATTTAAATTATTAATGTCAGTTGACTTTTTGGATAAGAGTTAGGCAGTATGTTTGGTGTGGAATCTTTATATTCCTGTTATCTGAGAGGGATTAGAAAAAAGACAAATCTGCCTGCTCTGGATTCAGCTGAAGGGTAGAAGAAAACAAGCCCATGGAACAGGCTCAAAAGAGCACTGAGGAAAATGATGGTATTGATTTTGTCCTGTTGTTTTGGAGTACCCTCTTGTAACATCATGGAGATTCTTAAGGAGGAGCAACGAGTTACACTGGTGGGCTTTGAAACCAGCATATTGGAGGAATCTCTTCTTCAAAATAAATTTTACTCAGAATGATGAAGATTCAAAGCAAATAATAGCAGGCTTTTTGCTTTCTACCTATCTTAGAAGATAACTGCCACCCATCTAGCTGAAGCATTCCTACCTGTGTGTGTTTTATGTCTTCAGCATCGAAGAGCAAAAGTATCGACTGTGATAAGGATATCTTGGCAAAGTCATTTGGCTGGGATCTCACAGTGGCTCTGTGGCCTAAGCACATCTCTAGGGAGTTAGAGACCAAGGTAGATGCCAGGTTTCTTTGCTGTTGACTTTAGCCCCTTTCTTTCAGTGGTGAATAGATTCATCCAGGTTGACCTCTCCAAGGCAAATCATATTATTCTTGGGCATGGCTGACTATAACAAAGTTCTTCCTTGGGGCTGGGGATGTAGCACTGCACCTGCCTGGAAAGTGCAAAGTCCTGAGTTCCATTCCCCCTCCCCAAAGAAAGCAAAAAGTTCTTCCTTGAGCTAAAAAAGTAATAATACCTCTTCCCACCCACTCGTAGTAGAAACTATGGGTTTTAGAGTACTGTGGCTTTATGCTTTTCCTTTTCTTCTACTTGTTCCCCTTGTGATTTGAGGGAGATAGTTTTTCATCCTTCTGGCAATTAGTTCTGCATCTCTGAGAGTGGTTATGGTGTCAAATATCATCAAGGACAGCAATGGAGGGAGGGAAAGGGAGGGAGACAGGGGGTGGAGAGAGAGAAAGCGAGGGAGAGAGAGAGATTTCACAAAATTAGAAAAATATCCTCCAACGAAAATCTGAAGAAATAAGGACTCTAGGATTTATAATGCTGTCCCCATCTTACCCCATATTAAAAGATATAATATCGAATGAAGCATGGCATTATAGTATTTTTTTTCTTGAATGCATCAAGATGGAAAGCATTAAAGATCCATGATCTGAACACTTTTAGGTAAATAAATTCCCAATTCAATTTAATCTCTGAGGCTTCTGTCTTTACAGGTCTTTGTATTTTTTGCTCTGACTAAAAGCCCTTAAATTTCTGTTTAGGACTCTCAAGTTGGGTTTGTTCTCAGCACATCATTTTTCTGAAAGGCCAAGTATGGCATTACTTCACCCTACCGTCCCCACAAGGTCTGGGCAATGTTCTTGGAAATACAAAGATGATCTCACACAGTTGGAGGAAGGGCCTCATAATAAAATAATGGTCCTTTTCCCTCTTAGGCACTGCACACTGGTAAAATATATTGCTTCTTGACCGTCTGGCTAAGATCCTATACACAACAACTAAAATATTAGCATCCTGTCAACTTTACCACATTTGGGCCCATAATTTTTGAAAGCTATAAGAAGTCTTATGCTTTGTGTGGGCCCAGATGAGCTATCTTTGTGGAGGCCTCTATGCGGTAGCAGAGTTTGTCCAAAAAGGCTGGATCATAGACTGTCCAGTCTGGTAATCTACGTAGTGCTTGAACCAACACTAAAATGTTCACTTGATTTTCTCTTGGTAGGGGTTGTCCAGCCTGGGTTTGAATATCACTCGAGAGGGGAAGGAGACTCAAAGCAGCCATTTCATGGTTGCCTTAGATTTGTCTGGAAGCAAAGACATTCTTTCTCCTTGAGCTGAAATGAGCCTTCCTGAAACTCTTACTCATTAATACTAGTTCTCCCCCTATACATTTAGGCATAGTTGAATTCCTTTTTAACCATTTGAAGGTAGCTACTTTTTGTTTACCAAGTATATTAGGGTTCTCTGGAAGAGAAGAATCAAGAGAAAAATATATGTGTAATTGTGCAAGGAGATTTATTAGGTAGGCTTGTAGGATAAGAGGCAGAACAGTCCACAAAGGCCACCTGCATGTTGGAGAGCTGGAGGTTGCAGTAGCTGCTAAATCAAAAAGATAGAAGCAATAGCACAAGAGGGATCAAGGATGCAGCACCAGTCCAGGGCTGAAGCCTGGCTGCTCACTGGCATCTCACTGGTGCAAGTCTGCATGGCAAGAAGAAACTGGAGGTCTAGAGACCCATGTCCAAAGGTGATGGCAGCAAAAGATGGACCTGCTTAGAAAGACTAGAGGTCTTCAAGATAAGAACATTTCCTTCTTCTTTCCCCCTTTATTCCATCCGGGCCATAAGCCTATTGGTTGGTGCAACCAACAAAGGGTGGATCTTCCCCTCGGTTTGCTGGCCTACACATCAGCATCCACAGATACACCCAGAACTGTACTTTGCTAATAAGGTAGGTGTTTCTTAATCCATTCAAGTTGACACATATGATTAATGGTCACACAAAGTCTTAACCTCAGATTAAGTAATCTAATTTTTGGAGTAAGTTATCTTGGAATTTAGATTCAAGTTCTTTTACTAAACACATCCCCAAAATACCATAATAAATGTATCCAGTGATAAATTTGGTTCTGAGTTATCTACCTTACCATTCCTAATAGTACATATTTAGTAGAGCACCGTGAAATGCCATTGGATTTCTTTTTGGAATCCTATTAAACTATTGACATTATTGGATTTGTTAATTAAATTCCTAAGTTTCTCACATACTGTGTTAAACTTGTATGGTTGATTTCTGAACACGTGTATAGGATCTTGTACTTACTGATTTTAAAATTTGTTTGCTTTGGTCCACTGTTCCAAGCTCTCATAGCACTTTCTGAAGTTCAATCCTGTCATCAGCTATATTTGTCATCTCTCATAGGCGTTTGTCATTTATGATAAGCACACTTTTCATATTTCCATCTTAGCCATTGATATTAGAAGGGCAGAGCTAATGACAGTAGGGCAAGTAAAAGTAGAAGTTACAGTTCAACAGTGAAATAACCTTACTGTTTTTATTGTTATATTGTAAATTTTATTTATACTATTACAGTAATGAGCTATTGCTCTAACCGGTAGAAGAAGCACAGTGCAGTGAACTTGGTATAGTGGGAGAAATTGATAATGTTGCAGTAAACTTTATTTTTTTACATTATGATTTCTTAGTTTAAAAAAGAATAAGTGCATATCAGTATTTAAGTCAAAAGTAAGAAAACACCTGCTGGTGTACAAAAATTTTTTAAACATTACCAAAGTTTTATTTAAGGCTTAATTTGAGGCTTGGGTCACTTTCCCAAACCTCAGTTGTTCTATTATTTTAAAAACAAAAACCCTAGTGTGAAAGTGAAGTAAATTTTTCAAAGTTTAGATGTTAGATCATCTGGCTTATTTAACTGGGGGCTAAAGAGGTGGTTTTGTTTAAATAACTATATAGATCTTCAATCATCTTTCAAATTAATTGCCACAGTTCTTAACATTGACAGAAACACGCATATCAGAAAAGAAAACGAACTCAATTTTGGTTGGTACATTCTGACTGAATAAAGAGAGGGGGGCTTCAGGAGATCGACTTGAAGGGTGGATTGAATTTTCCTGTTAGGAAAGGATCTAGCATGACTTTCCATGGTAAAGATTTCCAGGTAAGTTCAAGAGGGGAAAAAAAGAAAACTGAAGCTGAATTTCATAAGGAAGTAATAATTCTGTTCTGATTAATGACTGTCTATAGACACCATTGCCAGGAAGACAAATGGCAGAACTGCGTTCCAATTCTTAAAATCCTTCTTTCATCATTTGGACACTTAAACCTATTATTCTCATTAATGAGATGTATGCCAGTACACACAATCACTAACGGAGTTGTTGTTCTTTGTTTTCCTTTTGTTTATGCAGCGTCATAGTTACATTTTTGGCTATGTTTTATAATATCATGACCCAGACTACAAACAAATTCCTAGTTAAACTGTTACGGATTCTTTGTAAAATAATTTTGGAGTGAAGCTTGTTTTAACTTTTGGTCTTCCTGTGCTACATGTACTTGCACTCATGTTCACAACTCACATTCATGCACACCATCTCTCTCTCTCAAATAGTCACAGAATATTTTTATTAACCCTGTCTAGCACAAATAAATTGTAATTATCATTCATTGTTCGCTAAATATTGTTTTTGGGAGCCACTATTTATCCTTGGAAATTTTTAACTTTTAAGACTTGTTTGATGTATACATAGGTTAAAATCATCCTCCTTCCTCTACAAACTCTCTGCTTTAGCCATAGTGAATTTCTCACAGCCTTCCAAATGTGGAATGATATTATCTCCTCAAAGCTTTGCACGAACTCTTTCCTTTGAGTGGAAAATCCCCTTCCTCCAACTCAATAATTCTTAATTACATATTAAAATGAGATATTTGACATTCTTCCCTGGAAGTTTTCCCTGATTTCTTACCCCTTTTCAAATATTCTTATGTTTATGTATATATCATGTATCACACTGTACTATAAATGAGGATTTAGTTCTACTTCTTTTACATATTACATCATTTATAATAGGTATTACTAGTATCTGAGACTTAGTAGGTACTTAAATGGTGTAGGGAAAGTGAGAAGGGTAGGGGAAAGGTAATAGGGAAAATAAAAAATATGAGAAAATGAAAAAATGGAAATAAAGTGTTTGTAAATGGGGAGGGGAGGAGGAAGTGAAGGGAGGGCGGGGACAAGGGGAAGAAATGAGAACCAAGACCTGCCTTGTAAAGGTACAAGATCCCAATAATGGATGTAACTGTACTGTATAACTAAAATGTACCAATAAACTCAATTAAAAAAATAAACGTAATAAAGGTTTTCTTAAAGCAGGATCCTTTCCAAAAATTGCCTGAACTAAAATAGCTGCTTGTCCTGTATATTCTCATAAAACATGCTTCCTCTTTGTAAGCATTTATCAGATTTGTAGTTATGTATTTATTTATGCAATCTATTCCTCCCCTAGATTATAAGCTCTATGAGGATCAGAACCATGTGTTTGTTTCACTGTCCTCTTCCATTCCTGGCACAGAGCCTAGAGCAGGGTGAATGGCTCAGTAATTATTTGTTGAATCGATGACCGATTGAATGAGTAGATCTCCAAGACAGATGTTGATGAGAGAAGTGGTTTTAATTTAAGAGAAGGGCTGAAAAGGGAGAGTGCGATGGGAAAAGAGAACTAAAGAAAGAGAGTTTCTTGAAAATTGAACCAGAGTACTAAAGAATATAGTGGGAAGAGAGTGACAAGGGTGAGGATGGAGCAGAAAAGGACGAAGCCCTGAGAAAGGGAGAGTAGAATCGGCGAGGAGAGCAGTAACCGTGGTTTAACCTAACCTTGGGACTTCACGTAGGATTGTGGCTTACAGGTCCTTCCATGGACTCAATAGCGCCCCTTCCCAAGGCAAAATGGCACTGTAGAGGGGCTTTGACTTTGACGTCAGACAGGTCTGGTTCCACAATGCAGCTCTCACAGGACAATGGACATTCCAGAATCTCAGATTCGTCCTATAGAATTGGGTGCAGTTAAATGTTCATGATGCATCTAGCTCAGTATGTGGCTCAGTGCAATCACTGAACAAATGGTAGCAGTTATTAATCTTAATCAGACTTAACCTGTATGGAACTTTTGAATGGTTCTATTCTTCACCTAATTTCTTTTTTTAGCATTTAAAATCAACAGTTTAAACCATTTTTTATCAAATTTGAAGATGACATAAAAATTGAGAGAAATAATCTGTTGGCTGTCAGGCTAAGGAGCCATAAAAATCTCAACAAGGATAGGCTGACACCATCACGATAAAACCGATGGTGATAAATTTAGACTCCTACTTTGTGTTTAAAGAAATCAGCTGAAACCAGAACAAGGGAGACCTTGCTTAATAGTTTATAAGAGAAAGAGAAAAGCTCAGAAGTGTTAGCTGACTGTCAGCATAACACGAGCCAACTGAGTCAAGTCTGCCAAAAAGCACACAGGACCCGAGGTCATGTGATGGAAATAGAGTATCCAGAAGAAACAACATAATCATCCAAGTGTCCCACACTGGTCAGACAACATCAGGGGAGTTGTGCTCAGCTCTTGGCCTGGATTTTCAGAGATCTAGAGCTAGTGTAAGATTAACAAGAGGGTCAAAGTTCTGGAAATCGTGTCATTTGAGCGATGGTCCAAGGCACCAAAGATGTTTAGTCTGGAAAAGAGAGGTGGTGCACATTGGGAGTGAAAAGTGGGAGTGAAGCATGCTACCACCTTCAAATATTTAGGATTCAGTGTTTCAAAGGATGAAAGGAAAATTATGACCAGAAATTGTAGAGAAGGAACATTTTGGTCACTGTAGATTAAAGTATATTATGATTGTATGTGGTAGCATTTACAAACTCAGTATGCAAGAGTCTCTGTTAAGCTCTTCTTATGCATTACTTAGTGCTTACACCAGTTCTGCAAGGTGAGATAAGGAAACAGGCTTAGACTGAAAAATTGATTGGTTTTAACCTGTGCAGCAGGTTAAGTGGTGAACTGGGGACTCCAATTCAGGTTTTATGACTATTAGCACTATGGCATATTTCACATAGGATTTCCTAAGACACAGGAGTCCCACTGCTAAACCCTGAACAGTCCCTAGCAAGCCAGAATGATTGGTCACCTAATTTCACAGTGTATTTTCCCCATTCCAGGATGTGTAAACCTTTGCTGCCCAGAAAGCTATGATTATAGCTCAATGTCTGGCTTTGTCTCAGATTTCTAAAGCACTTTCCAGAAAATTTCAACTGCTCAAATATGCAAATGGTTTGCCTAAAGTGGCAATCAGTGCCCATTTCTAGTTGTAATAAAAAAAAAGTATCTGGTTGTCCTCTCTCACAGTGGTTGAAGAAGAGAATTCTCTGTTGGGCTCATTGTTAAGTGAAAACCATTTCTACAGTTCCATCTGTCTCTGTCATTCTGTGATTTGGAGGGAATGTCTTTTCCTGAACTCTGGGGTAATTTTCAAGGCTCTTTATGTAGAAATGAGAGTACATTTAGGGAACTGGCTTGAGATGGTGGTTCACGAAGCCTGCAGCATGGACACCTGACTCCTCTGTTAGGGTCATAGACCTCTGCTAAAGTTAGCAAGAGCATGTGTACCAGATTTGGAGAGCTTTGCCTTCACAGTATATGTGCTGTGAAGTTTCAACCCAAGTCTCTTCCAAACGAGATTCAGATACCAACTCACTTTATGCATGTGTATATGTGATAAATATGTTTATTCATTTAAAAATCACTTTAAAGAGATGAGAAAGAAGATCTCAGCTTGCCCTTTGAAATGCATCATTAGTGAAATTTTGTTTTACTTTAAAGGCCTCATGACTGAGTATTTGGGAACCTTTAGTATTTTGATACAGTTTTTTTGAGACAAGATTTCACTGTGCAGCTCAGGGTGGCCTCGAACTCATGGCATCCTACTACTGCTTCAGCCTCCCAAGTGCTGGGATTACAGGTGTGCACCACAACTGGTTCAATATTTTGATAAAGATTTTTTAACTTTCCTTAAAATGTTTCCTGTAACTGTATAGTGTTGTAACATACACTGGCATAAAACATACACAGGATAAATAAAGCAGCCATCGTAATACATTCGCCCCTTTTAAGTTGGAACATTATTAATTTACCGCTATCTTAGTTGGAGAATTCCCCAGAGTCAGTGAGGCTGAAACTATATCTCTCATAGGTTGCTGTTTGTCACTTGGTGAGTCTCTTTTCAATTGAAGCAGATGACCAACACAGAAAATGATCAACTGGAAAAACTGAAAAGAATAAAAATTTTCATAGAAAATATGGTAATCTAAATCTACAGAAGTTGACATTTTATGCCATTTATATCCTTTTCCATGAGGTCCAATCAATAAAGAGTCATTTCTCATTAAAGTTTAACCTACTAATATCCATTTTATTATATAGTTCTGCTGTTTTTGGTCTCTTTGTTAGCAGCTGCCATTAATGATCTTTATTATTTCTCTCTTTTTGTTCGCTTTGGGCTTAGTTTGTTCTTTTTATCTAATTTCTTAAGATATAATATTAGGTTGCTTATTTGAAACTTGGCTGCTTTTTTGATGTTACTGTTTATTGCTCTGAACTTCCCTCTTGGAACTGCTTTTTTAGGTCCCATAAGTTTATCTGCATTTCCATTTTCATTTGTCTCAAGTATCTTTAAATGTTCCCTTTAATTTCTTTAACCTATTAATTGTTCAGGGGTATGTTGTTATATTTGCATGTACTTGTAAATTTTCTGAAATTTTTTTGTTATTGATTTCTAATTATACATCATTTTGGTTAGAAAAGATACTTAATATGATTTAAATCTTCTTAAATTTGTTTGTGGCCTAATCTATACTTTTTCCTAAAAATGTTCTGTGTATGCTTGAAAAGAAAGTGTGTTCTGCTGTTGGTTGAAATGTTCTATATGTATCTGTTAGGTCCATTTGATCAAAAGTGTAGTATAAATCCCATGTTTCCTAATTGACATTCCATCTGGATGACCTGTACATTTCTGAAAGTGGGGGATTGACATACTTTTTGTAGAACAATCCATCTCTCTCTTTAGATCTATTAGTATTTGGTTTATATATAGGTGCTCTGACATTGGGTGCGTATATGCTTACAATTCTTGATGAATTGACCACTTTATCATTCAATAATGACTTTCTTTTTCCCATTTTACAGTTTTTGACTTAAAGTTTCTTTTATTTGGTATAAGTCTAGCTAATCCTGCTCTTTCAGTTTCCATTTGTATGGAATCATTTTTCCATTTGCTATGGTTTGAATATGATTTGAGCCTGACTGCTAAAGGTTCATGTGTTGGAAGACTGGTCTTCAGTATGGCAGTGTTTGAAAATGGGGTCTTTAAGAGGTGGGGCTGAGTGGGAGGTCCTTGAATCTTTCTCCCACGTATGTTCTTGCCACTGTCATTTGTTGTGTCTTGACATAGCACAAAAGGCATCTCACCAGAGCCTGTGCTCTGTTTTCCTTGTTTCTTCCTCAGGTTGGGTAGTAGTGTGTTTGTGAATTTCTCATAAAATGAAGTCATATAAACTTGCTCCAGTAATTATTTTGAAGGAGGGAAGGAGGGAGCAGTATGTACTTTACAGCAGGGAACAGCAGCTCACTACCTGGTAAGTAAGGCCTTGCATTCACTTTTGGTTTCAGAGCTTGTTGCTCATACAAAGTACTATCTTTAATTTACCCAAAGACCTATCCAGAGAGTCAAGGTCATCAAGGTGGCACTGTTTATTTCAGGTTTGTCTGGGACTCCTTAGTTAAGAGTCACAGATCCATTGTCTTTTGCTGGAGCCACAGATTTGTTGCTGCATTTTCACTATTTTCTCCCCTCACCCCCTCTGGAGGAGTGTTAAGTAGTAATTAAGGTACCATTAGATGGCCTGTCTTAATTCTTTGCTTCTCAGCCTTTAAATATTCTTATTTTTTATTAACACATATTAGTTGATAAATGTCAATGGTACTCACTGTGACATTTTAACACATGCATACAATATGAACTGGTAGAATTAGGGTAATTGGCATTTGTGTAATTGTTTGAAGCCTTCAAGCTTCTGTATTCTAGACCTTCATAAAATATATAGTAGGTAATTATAAACTACAGTTATTCCGCTGTGCGGCCAAACATTAGAACTTACTCCTTCTAGCTGTGTTTGTTTTAATACCCATTATCCAACTTATCTACTCCCTCCATTTCTAGAAATAACTATTTTACATTCAGGTTGAAATTTTTTGGCTTCCATGTTTGAGAAATAACATGTAGTATTTTTCTTTCTTTTTCTTTAAATTAATTTTATTGTTACATTTTAGATGTACATAATGATCACATTCATCACAGGAAGCTTGTACCTGTATATAACATATCTTGATTCTTCTTTTTCCCCCAATTCCCTTCCCTCCCTTCAACTCCTCTTCTTATTTACAAGAGCTTTGTTTCAATTTTCCATTTTTTTCTTCCATTTATTTTTTCTTTTCCCTTCCTTCCTTTTCCCCCATCTCCCCTCCCTTGTTCCCCTTCCCATTTGAACATTTTTTTCCTTATTTCACAATATCTATTATACATTTTGGTCCTTATTTTTACCCTTTCAGTTTCTCACACCAGAGAAACAATGCAATATTTAAACACATGTGTCTTATTTATTTCACTTAAGAGTATGGGCTCAAGGTGCATCCATTTACTTAGAAATGTCTCCAACTTTTCCTAGTATATCACATCTTTATCCATTCATCAGTTGATGGGCATTTGGGCTGTTTCCAAGATTAACTATTAACAAATTATGCTGCTACAACCATGGGTGTGCATATATCACCATGGTATGATGCTTTTAATTCTTTCAGGAAGATACCAAGAAGTGAAATAGCTGGGTCAAATGAGACCTCTAATCTTAGTTTTTTGAGGACTCTGCACAATAATTTTCACAGTGGTTGCACCAGTC